TCTCTGAGATATGCCCTGCTCATTATTCAGAAAAGGACATCAGGTTCAGGCTCTCCTAAGGAAACACAATTAGACTGAAACAGAGATGGAATGGAACAGAAACATCCTGTATGTTGAACACCACTTCCTCCATTATTTCATCAGGTATAAGAATGTCACATGTTTATCTGTGGAAAGATGATTCGTACTCTGCTCCACTGGAAAAAGCATTAGAGGCAGAATTTCATTAAACAGGAACACATTATAATATTGTATAGGCAACAGCAACATAAAAAGGATAAGAGGCATTTGTTTGAAAGTGGATGCAGAGATCTAAAAATTAGAGAAACTATCCAAGAGTGCAGTACTAGATTTTGAGACCTAGGTCGGGATTTCATGGAGGTAAAAATACTTTTAGCTGTGTAGTCTCTTGTTTTTTTAGGTAAGCATTTATAGTTTGTCATAACTTCACATATATGTTTAACTTTATTCAAAATGGTGTACTTCTCATTTGATAGTGGTATCATAAATAGATAGTGTCTTTAGTAATTTTTTATAGCAGATATAGGGACAATTCTTTAGAGGATTTAATGTGAAATCTTGATTGTGTCTACTTCATTTCTTTAGGGACTTAATGAATTGGGGTTCAGATATTTACAGTTGCAGTAACATAATTTCATCCAGTGATAGTTTAAAGTCTTTAAAGTAATAGCTTCTAGCCATTAGTGTGAAAATAATCTAACTGAATTAATTTTTAGGTCTTCCCCAATCTCCATCTTTCATTCTACTTTTGCTTACCTGCAGTAATTTCAGAACTTGAAAGATTAGCCACTGTTTTATATGCAAGATGGCCAGAATTGCACATTTTCTGAAATGCCAACACCACAGCATAAATTATCATAGTGATAGTTAGCCTTGACCATACCCTTTGGGTATTTAAGTTTTCTCCACGTGGTTTGTGACAGGCAGCCAACAGTTTGACATTAATGTCTTGGAGGAGATCTGGAAGTTACAAAGTCTGAGATGTTGATTAAAAATGATTGCTATGATCTATACAGCAGGCAAAGAGACAGTAAAAACATATTTGCTTAATAAACTCAAATCCTCAAGAGGAAATGGAGGCTAGGTATGAAAAAGATGAGGGAAATGTGAAAGATGAACAGATAGGCCAAGATGAGAACTCCAAAACTAACCTTGTTCTTTTCCTATTTTCCAAAGGTCAAACTATTTGGCTTCTGCTATGCCTGGGATAATAATGGTCAGCTTTTCTGTCTTTGCCCACTGCTCATGAAAAAACTTTCATGAATGTTTTTTCTGAATAAGAGGCAAGGTTAAAGTGCTAGTCCGTAGAACTCATTGGAGTTGGCTTTTGAGCTCCATTGGGGTCCTGAAATTACACATACATGTTTTATGTGTATAGATCCAGGTGCATGATGTATGCATGTGTAAGAAGGCTCCAGTCAGGACTTTCTCGGATTCTCAAAGAGCCTATAGAGGCTGCTGAAGGGTTGTGAATCACTGTTCATTTCTGGTGCCTCCCAGTGCATCACGCTCAATATTGAGGTCTGTGAGTGCCCACTATAGCCTCTGGTAGTTCGGAAGACAGACTTCTGGGTGACAGTTGGGTCACTGAGTCCCTCCCTCCTCAGTAGTCATCTTCTCTGTTGAATCTGAGGATTATGGTCATTAAGCTGTCCAGCTTAATTTCAACAAACTCTTTTGGGTATTACTCCCTTCTAATTGCTCGTGGAAATAATGATTTTAGGTGACAAGATTATTACAAGCTGCTGGTTAATGGGTTCTTCAGGGTCAAGAAAACACCAGTGAGATGGCTCTGACCTGTTCTTTTCCATTATGGGCATTGCCCTGAAAATCCAGGGAAAAGAGTAAACTAAGAGGTACAGAACACTGGTTTCCTAGCACCCTCTGTCTAGTGACAGATCAGAGGAGGACTTTCAACTTTCCCTGCACTGCCAGCCCACGTCAGGTTTCATAGACTTGTTTAACTAACTTAAAAAGCACAGGGTAGTTTCCAGCTCTTCCATTTGCTTGTTTACCTGTTTCAGCCAAGTTGCTTTACAACCCAGTGAGTTTTAAAATAAATAGGATCCTAGGTGATGAAATACTAGACTCAGCTCAAGTTGACCATATTCATTGCTTTGCACTTCAATTAACAAGAGGATCAGTTTGACCGACAAGGCAGAGCAGTATTGCTTAAGGGTCCACTATGTCCCCACACGGGGAAGATCGGATGAAAAGGACAGCATTTGCCTCAGCACTTCAGGAAGCTGGGAACTGATTGGCTGTTTACAAGTTGTGTCATATGGGGACATTTATTTGACCTCTCATCATCTGTCAAAAAGGAACAATAATAATAGCCAGTTCACAGCACAGCCATGGCGATTAAAGAAATCATAAATGCCCACAATGTAACAATAACTAAGCCAAACACAAAAAATCATACATCTGTGTAGGAAATATTCACAAACCTCCTGTGATAAGGCTATCAGATATCCAAAACATATAAGGAATTCAAATAACTCCATATTAAGAAAGCAAACAGCCAGATTAACAAATAAGCAAAGGACCTGAGTAGACATTTCTCAAAAGAAAATAGTTTATGAGTATATTAGAGGTCTTCAAAAAGTTCATGGAAAATGTGTTATTTTAAAAGCTATACATGGGATGGGTGTGATGGCTCAATTGGCTAATCCTCTGCTTGCAAGGGCCGGCATCGCATATTGTTTCTGGTTTGTATCTCAGCTACTCCACTTCCCATCCAGCTCTATGCTTATAACTTTGAAAGCAGCAGAGGGTGGCCCAAAACCTTGGGAGACCCCAAAGGAGCTCTGGGCTCCTGATTTCAGAATGGCCCAGCTCCAGCTGTTACAGTCATTTGGGAATGGGCCAGTAGATGAAAGATGTTTCTGTCTCTCCCTCTCTCTACAGATATGATTTTAAGTAAAATTTTAAAAAATCTAAAAAAAATCCATGCATAAATTTCAATTATTTTGGTGCCCAATTAAATTTATCTATTAATTCCAACTTTTTGAATACTGTCTTATCAGCACTATTTAAACCAGTATGCCAAAGAGAAATTTGTCCTGTCCATTATGGCATTATTCAAAAGTCAAGATATAAATTCCTGAAGCACCCACCAACGCATCATAGAACACTCTTTAGCCTTCACAAAGGAAAGAAACGTGAACCTGGAAGACATTATGTGAAATAATCCAATCACAGAAAGATTAAAAACTGCTTCACTGCACTTATATCTGGACTCTAGAGAAGTCAATTTCATAAAATCAGAGAGCAGGACAGCGGTTTTGGAAGAGGTGGTGAAGTGAGACAAAGTTTCAGTAAGTAAGAAGAAATTTTAGACAAATTGCCTAGCTTGGTAACTCTAATTACTCAAGACATATGTTTCAGAATCTCTCAGAGATTCTGATGATTATCTGATGATTATTCTGATGATTCTGATGCTAATTATTATCACCACTAAAAAAATATTTAAGAAGATGAGCTGATGGTGATGAACAGATTACTTAGTTTGATTGAATCTGTACACATTGTACAACAAAATATTACATCATATCCCATGAATATATGCAATTATATTAACTAAAAATCGAGCTTAAGAAACTATTATTAATTGGAGTACACTTCTTCCTAAATTCAGAACATTCATAAACATCAAAAGTAATAGTGAGGGCCTGGCACGGTATCCTCGTGGCTGAAGTCCTTATCTTCCATGCCCCAGGATCCCACATGGGCTCTGGTTGGCATCCAGACTGCTCCACTTTCCTTCCAGCTCCCTGCTTGTGGCCTGGGAAAGCAGTCGAGGACAGCCCAAAGCCTTGGGACCCTGCACCTGTGTAGGGGACCTAGAAGAAGCTTCTGGCTCTTGGCTTTGGACTGACTGAACTGCAGCCGCTGTGAGTGCTTGGGGGAGTGAGCCAATAGATGGAAAAGCCTTCTCTTTGTCTCATATTCTTTGTAAATCTGACCTTCCAAGAAAAATATTTTTTTAAAACAAGTAGTAATGAGTAAAATAAGTTACTATTTAGTCCTGCCCAATCCTACCTTCATGCTCTGACACCTTGCTAATTTAGACGCATCTAATTCCCATATACACTGAAATTCTTCTGAAAATGTTGCAGATGGAGATTATTCTATGAAGGTCAAGTGAAAATGTTTGAAAATTAGTAGTGATATTTCTTGAAGTCAAAGATCTGTGTGAGATTGACAAAGAATTTGTCTGCATCCCATTTTCCTTTCTGGCTTGTTCTCATGCATCAGATCAGACACTACCCTCATGGTGATGCTTCAAACATGGGAACTTCCTTCGATTTAGAAAAAGGTTTGTTCCTTTTCTCTTGTCTTCTTAGTTATCATAAGATTTTATTCCCATTTAAAAAGCAGTGGTGAAACCTTTGATTTTTTTCATGGGCCTGATTTTCATGCTTAAGCTTTTTATTTCATGTTTTCCTTCTCAATTGTCACTCACCATCCTGGCTGTTTTCTGGGTCAGCACTGCCTATCTCCCTCACTTAGTTTCCTTTCACTGAGGGTTGGTTGCAGCAAGCAAACTCAAACATTGCACCAAAATGTAAAATAGGTATAATGGCTAGCTCTCCATTTATATTCTTTGAAGAAAAAGCAACTTCTCTAAGTATGAAATAGGATAGAAAGCAGGAGGTTGTATATCTTGGCTGCCAAAGATTCCTCCTTGCTCTTATCTTCAGCATTATGCTGTTTTGAGTCCCATTCTAGCCAATTATGGCAGAAAAGGGAAGAAGGTATATTCATGGTAAGTTCAGTAAACTTATTTAAATCAAATGTCTGGGAGAACTTCTATGGAAAGAGAAATTACAGAGAAGGTGAAGGTGTTCCTAGGTTTGTGACTGTATTAGAGAGTAAGATGCAAAGTACATGTACTCTGGATAGTGGGCTGCTTGGCTAAGGTGTCCATAAGAAGGATAAATCAATTATTTTAATCATCCTGCTGCTTGTTTTTCCAGCTGCTGTTGTGTGTATGACGCTCCTTGACAGATTGGACAGTGACCAGATCAACTTGCCCCATGACGTTCTGGTAGAGTACCAGCGACACCTTCAACTTCTCATCTGCACATTCGTTGAACAATGGCTTGGACTATGAGCGTACATCCTGACTGGGCAGCCCAACCCACCCCTTCACATCTGTAGCCCAGGCTGTACTAAAATCAGAAGAGATTTTATGAAATTCCTTTATCTTAAAAATGAATTTATTGTGAAAGAATTGACCACCCACATTAAATCAAATTCAAATTTCATTTTAGAACAAGTTAACTTGTTCTAATGGTTAACATTTGAAAACTCTTAAATAGTGACATTTGGAGTTTCATAAGCAGCATTAATTAAGCTCACATCAAAATAGATCAGCCATTTGTAGATACAGTTACCAGTCAGTTGCTGAAATCAATCCAGAAATTCATATTTGAACATTGTCAGATTCTTTAGGTGTTGGATAGGTGGCAGAAATTGATCAAATACATTCAAATTATTTACAAAATGTATCAGTGTAATGTAAATCTTTATGGAAGAACTGTCCTTAGGGAAATGTGACCATACTTCTTTTTTTTCCCCACCCCTGCATGATTTCAACAAGCTACAGGATAAGATGAGAGGCTTGCATATGTCTATGTTTTTGAAATTTTTGTCACAGAATCTCAATTACACATTATTTTCAAACCCTCATAATGCAAGGAAAGAGCCTTTTCTTTAGAAAGCACAAGTGACTAAATTTCCTTCTAGAAATCTTTGATTCTTTTAAGGAAATGCATTTTGAGAAGGCTGGTTATTTCTTTTAATTTCAACATTTACAAAGCTGGCTGAGGAATTATTACCAATTGAACCTGAGTCTAAGAGGTTGCAGTAATTCCTTTGTATTTCCTTAGGGCAGGTCTTGTTGAGACGCATCCCAACCCACCTCCCTCTGACTGGATTCTGCCTGGAGGCTCTTCTTAATTTGACACCCTTAGGAGGTAGAACAAACAGGTGGTAGATGACTTGTATAGGATGTAACATCATTTACATATAACCATATGGTTGTGATGGAAATAAATTACAATTCCAACTTGAAACATGTTGTGTGTATCCTGAAACCAGCCGTTATTGCCTGTGGCTGAATAGGCAGGATTTTTCTCTGATGGTCAACAGGCCCTGGGTTGGTAAGGTGTTGTCCAGTCTCTGTGCAAAGAAGTCACAAAACAACAATAAACAATAATTGCTGCATGCTTGTGGACTTTGTCTTTGAAGGTGTTTGGAATGCAATTTAAGATGTATCTCAATAACTGACCATCAAAGGATCAGAGCTCAAAGTAAGATGGAATAGCATTCATTTTCTGGAAGAGTTTAAATTTTGTTTCTTTTTTATTAGACTAAGTGGAAACCACTTCAGTGTGGTTCCATAAGCTTTTGACTTTAATACTTACCCATCTAGTCCTGGAAAGTAATTTATTTCCCTTCCCATTACGGGAAGAGAGAAGAAAGGAGATGGTGGACTATGAAAGTGAGAGAAGACTGAAAAAGTCAACCCTCTCCTCAACTGACGTAGAAAGTGTGTGTGTGTGTGTGTGTGTTTCCTTCACTTGAATAAATGGCATCAAGGTGCACATGCTTGAAATCTTTCTAGCAATCCTTTCTTCTTCATCCTCACTCTCAACACATTGCTAAGGCCTAGGAATTGGCTCCCCTGAAGCATCTCCCCTTCTGTCCACCTCTTTCCAGTTCCTGTGCATACCTCCTAACCCAGGCCACCGCTGCCTCTTCTGCAGATCACTGCACTGGCCTCATGCCTGGGCACCTTGCCTGTATTTCTGAAGTTTCAGTGGGTTATTCTCCGGCTCTGATGTTCTTCTGCAGGTCTTTGAGTAAGGACCAGAGTCCTCAGCATAGTTTGTGAACCCCTTCATTTGCTACTGGACCTCCAGCCCACTGCTAGCCCTTGTTACAGTTATCCTGTATCATCATGTGTGGTTCCTCAGTTACACTAGGGCACAAAGTGGAAAGGCACAGTTCTTTGTAAAGTCTAGTGAAGGCGCTTAACTGAAGGCACAGGTGGGGCTGAGATCCACCCTGGCCATCTAGTTGTGTGTTGTGTCCATGCACCATGGGCAGCTATGAGCCTTTTTCTGGTTTATGTTGTGGTACCATAAAGGATCATGGAATGTTTTCATGCTCTTTTCCCTTCTAATTTCAGGGTCTTTTGCTATCCACTCTCTCCAAAACCCTCTTTCCCCTAAACTTCACTCTTACTCATAGTTCAAATCTCAAGCCAAATTACCCTTCATCTGGAAAGACTTCCTCTTCATCTTCAAACCAGATTTCTCCCAGTGTTTCTCCTGTGGCCTCCCAGAGCACCCTACACTGCCCCTTCAAAGTAATCGCCACATCTTGTAATTATGTCACGATTTGGGTTATTATTTAAATAATCCCTAATGCCTAGATTGAAAGAATTTTTAAAAAGATATATTTATTTCTATTGGAGAGGCAGATATACAGAGAGGAGAATCTTCCACCTGTTGATTCACTCCCCAAGTGGCTGCAACGGCTGGAGTTGAGTCAATCCAAAGCCAAGAGCCAGGAGCTTCTTCTAGGACTACCATATGGATGCAGGATCCCAAAGCTTTGGGCTGTTCTAAACTTCTTTCCCAGGCCACAAGCAGGGAGCTGAAAGGAAAGTGGAGCTGGCGGGATTAGAACCGGCGCCCATATGAGATCCAGACACGTTCATTGTGAGGACTTCAGGTGCTATACAATCGCACCGGAATCACCTGAAAGGATCCTAAGGGCAAAGACTGTACCTGTCCTAGTTACTGATATGTCACCTGAAACAGCACTAGTCCTCCTAGTTGTTCAATAAATACCAAAAGAAGAATAAACCCTCTACCAAGCGTTTTCCCTGTCCACCATCACTGAAACACCTGCAGGCTTTATTTAGTCATTTTTCAGCACAGAGTTCCCTGTCTTCCTACCCTATCTTTGCGGGGAGGAAAGTCTTCTCTTTCCCCCATAAACAGCTATTATTCAGCCAGAATCTCATATTCTCTCCATAGCTTTACCCTTAGTCAGAGCCAAAGCCCTTTAGATTTGTATCTAGATTTAATTTTGCCCTCATCATTCCTTAATTTTTTTCTTTAGAACTAGAGTTGTCCTAGGAAGAGACGAATGTGTTCTCACTCATTCTCTGTGTTGAGAATGTTTGTCCTTGATGGTGTGGGGTTATGTCAGTCCAGCTCATCCTCATTTAGGACACAAGTCTCCTTTATTCTCATGGCGGTTTGTCCTCTGCAGGTACTTACTGACTGCCGCCCCTACATTCTGAGTCTGGGCATGTGCTTATTGCTTCACTTATAACCTCCCTTCTCTGCTCACAGGATCTTTTTTTTTAAGATTTTTATTTTTATTATTTTTTCATTGGAAAGGCGGATATACAGAGAGGAGAGACAGAGAGGAAGATCTTCCATCCGATGATTCACTCCCCAAGTGAGCGCAACGGGTCGATGCTATGCTGATCCGAAGCCAGGAGCCTCTTCCGGGTCTCCCACGCGGGTGCAGGTTCCCAAAGCTTTGGGCTGTCCTCGACTGCTTTCCCGGGCCACAGGCAGGGAGCTGGAAGGGAAGCGGGGCTGCCGGGATTAGAACCGGCGCCCATATGGGATCCCGGGCGTGCAAGGCGAGGACCTTTAACCACTTGCGCCACCGCGCCGGGCCCTGCTCACAGGATCTTATCCTCCATGAAAAATCCTCAAGACCTGGATGGTCTTGCAAAACTGTCTACTGGTCATCTGTCTGTGTATAAGTAGACAGACATGTGTATGTTGGTATGTTTTGCCTTTGTTCAAGCCTTCATTACAAACATACACGTGTGCCTGTTCTTCCCAAAAGGATCACAGAGGACTTACAAATATAAATAAAAGCACATCAGCATAGTCAAAGTTAGTATACTAAGTGTGAAAGAAAATGGGAAAGCAAAAGAATGAGGCACCAGATGGTGAAAGCCTGAGCTGGCCCTGAGATGAATTCCATAGAGTTCTATGTATTAGCAGTCGGTGGGTCATCAGATGGCTTTAAGCTGCCTAATGAATGCTTCATGAAGAGAAGAAAAGTACAGTGTCTCTAAGGTAAAGCTGTGGCCTGACATCTTGATTCTGAGAGGTTATGGTGTACAGAGTTGAGCCTTGGTCCCAGGAGCACTCTGTCTGGGCAGAAGGTGGGGGATGGACCTTGAGGGGGTATCTCCTGTGTTTTTCTTCTTGTGCTTCTCAACACCACACACATTAGGACCGCCAGTGAGTGCAGTCTTGCAAAAAACACAACTTGAAATGCTGTCTACCTCAGCAGAAGCTCTATTTTAAAAACACCCCTGTTGATGTGTAGCCTGAGCCAGGAGTAACTGATTTAAAAGGACTGGGTGATTTGTGAATCCAGCAGGTGCTCTTCTAGATAAATTTGTAGACTTTTCCTACTAAAAAAGTCACATAAAGATCAAGTGCTGTTACTTTTATACCTCAATGCCAAGAACATGTCTTAATCCTTAAATACCCCCTTCAGATTTCTTGGCACACAGTAAGATTAATAAATTATATTCATATAAATGTATGTATAATCATATATACATTTATAGGATATATTAGAAATCATGTGCAATTATACCTGAATGATTTGGAAAAAATCTAATAGAATACTTTTCAAGTGAGGTTCCTCTTTACAAGATGTTTTCTTATATTTGCACATGCTCATGAACTACCCAGGACATAGAGATTGAGAAACATGGTGCTCAACTTACTTTCCTAGCTGATTCTTCACATCACATATGTGATGGAATCAAACACTTAAGGTCAGATAAGCATTCTTTCCTGCTCGCCTCCAACACCCTAGTCCTGTCATCCGGCCACGGAAGAAAATTAAAACTGTCAGACACATATTGAGTTTCATAAAGCCATGCTGTTTCTTTCCAGAATCCTGTGTGCCTCTAGATATATTGTAAGTAGATTTTTTTGAGGGTTTGATCTATAATCTGCACCTCAGGGTTGAAACTAAGTAAAGTCATCTTTAATTGTTAAGCTTTCCCTTTGTCCCTTTTAAAAGAAAATAAACCATATTTTTTCCTTCCTC